TGGTTGGGGGTTACCACAACATGAGGAACTGTATTAAGGGGTCATGGCATTAGGAAGGTTGAGAAACACTGCTCTATACAAACAACTAGGAGAAGATAATATTGCTTGTGGGCTTTAGTGTTCCGAGTTGTGTTGTGAATACCATGATCCATCATGAAGATATGAAGTTGCTTGAATGAAGTACAAAATGTTTTGCTTTAACCCGGCCCCACTGAAGACCACCAGCTAATTGTCTCTGATATGTAAGGTAGATCTGGGAAACTCTCCAGATTTTTTGGGCACCTTACCATTAGCCATGCTGTGTGGACCTGATGGCTGAGTTGCAAACCAAAATATCGGGAGCATCAAAGATGTGTTTCCAACCTTTCCTTGAAATGCTGGGGACTGAATTTGAACTCTTCCACAGGCATAGAACAATATGTGACCCTCAACTAAGTGATGGCCTCATTTCTAATGTATCTTACAGCACCCTGTATATATTACTCAGCAAGGTTGGCCAAAGACTGTATTTTGCCTGAGGCAAAGGACAGAATGTGTCTCCCTAATGCATATGCAGAAGCTATTTGAATTGGCAGCTGAACCTTACTCAGACATTTACTGACACAAGTGATAGCATTTTCCAGCATACTATACTTAAGAGTAGCAAACAAGTTTATGGCTCATTTGTGTTTGTGGGACGATTCAATTGGATTTACTCCATAATTTAGCTGGCTGGAAGATTGTAGAAGTCAATCATCCAAAAAGTTAGTTCCGAGTTCTAGTTTACTCCTACGTAACGAGGTATGGAATAACTTTCCCAAAGTGGCACCCTCCAGATCTTTCAGTCTCGCTTGTAACAAGCATAGAAAACAGCTGGGGTAGATAATAGCAATAGTTAGCAATGACTTACAACAGGTTAGTGGAAGATGCATCATTTTGCATCTGCACTTCCTGCCAATGTGCTCCTCTGGGGATGGAACACACCCAACCAAAGGCAGTAAGTGTACTTGAAAACTCAGCATATCATCCTTCCACAGCTGTTCCTAATGTTCAGTGACAGGTGATTTTCTCCAAACGCAGCAACCAATTACCCATATGAAATGGGCATTTTAAACATATCTTCAGAGCTGGGTCACACACTGGTAACTAGTTGGTGCTTGTTTGTCCAAGGTGGACAAAGAGCATTGCCACTGGCAAACCAGGTGGGTAGGAAGAGAAGCATCTTGTTGGATTGCACTTGAGCCTTCTTTCATCAATCAATCATTTTAGTCATGCCTCATCTTTCCCAAAAAAGTGGGACAAGGCAGTTTGCAAAATAATGTGACATACTAACGGAATCACATATGGGCTTAAATGGAAAGGCAGTGCAGTGTAATGATTTGAATTTGAGTTCAAATCACAGTTTGAATCCCCTTTCAACCATGGAAACCCACTAAGTGACCATCAACCTCATCAGACGGCCAGCAGCAGGAGACGGTGGTGCTCTGCTTCGCCGTATTTATTTATTGTGTCAGAAGTGAGTTATTTCATACATTTGTATCCCATCTTTCTCACCCCTGGAAGGGGACTCAGGGCAGCCTCACAATCAGTAACCTTTACATGCCCAAACAGAGACAATTATAATAACAATTTACATTTAAAAGAATTGCTAAAATATAAAATATAAAACATCCAATTAAAGTTCAAGTCATATCCAGGTCAGTCAATTGTCAGTCCAATAAATCATTCTCATTATTATTGCTTTGTCTGCTGCTCGAATGCTTGGTCCCACAACCAAGTTTTAAGTTTTTTTCCTAAAGGATAGGGGGGAGTGAGCCAATCTGATTTCATTAGGGAGGATGTCCCACAGCTGAGGGGCCACCACTGAGAAGGCCCTATCTCTCATCCCCATCAGCTGCTCTTACAAGGGTGGTGGGATCAAGAGTAGGGCCTCTTTCGTTGATCTTAGTCCCTGAGGAGGGTTGTAGAGAGAGATATGTTCAGATAAATAAGCTGTGCTGGAACTGTTTAGGGCTTTATAGGCCAAGGCCAGCACTTTGAATTGTGCTTGATAGCAAATAGGCAGCCAGTGCAGCTGATGCAACAAGGGTTGAGGGTACAATTAAAACACAAGCAAAGTTTCAAAACTTAGTATTATGCTAAATGTCCTTTGACCAAAAACTGGCCACTTGGAGTGCCTCTGGTGTTGCTGTGAGAAGGTTCTACATTGTGCATGTGGCAGAGCTCATTTTGCATTGTAGTAGGTTTGCCATGAGGAATGGTGCATCCGGCATCCCATGCCTCACATCGCCTCCAGCGCCAGGTGGGCAATCACATGAGGGAAGCATGAGTGCATGTGGTGCACGCAGCTTCGCCCCATAGATCATAGCAACATGAGAAACCTCCCTTGTTGCCGTGGGGGTGTTGTGCCAGTTCCGCCCTCCTTCGTCCACAGTGCCGGCAGAATGTTGTCTGTTGGGAGCTGGCTGGCTCCATGAGTGACTGCTGCCAATACTTTGCCACCGATTCTAGCTCCATATGACAAGATAGTATGAGCAAGTCACACTCTTGGAGGTCTCATCTACACTGCCACATAATCTAGTTTCTGAATCCAGATTATCTGATTTGATCTGGATCATATGGCAGTGTAAACTGTGTTGGAATTCAACCTCACACCATTCATGTCTGTAGCCCTTCGTGAGGAAACAGATAGATAGAATCCAGTAAGGCGAAGGGAATCCCTTCTTCCTCATTCCTGAATGCCTCTCCTTTCTTCCCTCATCCAAATTCATGATGTAGAATGGAATTCTTCAGGGTGTGTGTTCCTTTGTTTTAAGCCCAAGAAGAAAGACCTCATGGTCATTCTTTCAGTCTGTGTCTCTCTAATTGTGTGTGACTGAGAAAATGCAGTCTTTAGAGATTTTTTTCCCTTTATTTGAACTTAGAAGTAATGAAGTTAGTTAGAAAGCCAATTTCTAAAATCAGTTGGAATAGTAAAGGTTAAAGCAATCCAAAAACATGGAAACTGGAAAGATTCACACTGGCTCCCTTATTTTTAAACATTACCAGATTGCTCTTCCTAAAACAGTAACCTTTGGGCAGCGTTAAAATAAATTATTTATTTTGAGGGTGAGACACTTAATAACAGCTCTGGACCAGACCCTAGGGAAATGTATAACAAACAAGAAGTCGGAACGCAAAGGTTTCCAGAGGCAAAAGCCCCTCAACTGAAAGAATCCAGAAACAAGTTAAATATTTAAGAGTAAAAAAAGCTCATCTATTAAACAAAACATTGTGCAAATAAATAGAAAACATCTGTTCCATTTTTGTTCATTGCTCACAGCTTAAAAGGAAGGAATGTGCTATTGGAAAGGGCATTTGTGGAAACCTAGGACACACTTATACACATGGATGTACTACATGTGGCCTTCCAAATGTTATTATTGGAGTACAACTATTAATCTGTGTTACTGGCTGGCTATGCTGGCTAGGACTGATTAAGGGCCCTTCCAGAAAGATCCTATACTTCAGGATCTGGTCCCAGGTTTTCTGATTTAAACTAGATTATGTGAGTCAGATAATCTGAGATAAACAGATCCTGGGATATAGGGCCTATCTGGAAGGGCTCCTAGAGAGCCAATCTTTTTGCCTCTGCTGAAATACAGAAAGTAGTGCTGGATTGAATATCTCACTTATCCATAAAACTAACCATACAGCAGAGTATCCAACAAAAATGGAAATATTTAAAAAGACAAAACATTTTTTTGTGTATGTCAAGAGCGACTTGAGTAACTGCAAGTTTCTGGTGTGAGAGAATTGTTTGCAAGGATGTTGCCTAGGAAATGCCTAAATCCCATGGGAGGTTTCTCTCATGTCCCCGCATGAGAACCTGGAACTAACAGACAGGAACTCATCCTGCTAAGCATTGATAGCTAGTTATCTAGGATGTAAATCAGAACCCTAATGGAGGACCTGACATAAAAATGCAACACTTGTTGTTTTTCTTGATGTTGTGTTCCTTTAAATAGACATTGAACCATTTGTTCTCCTTACTGTGGGGATTTCTTGGCAATATTTGTGCAGAGGAGGTTTGCCCATGCCTTCCTCTGAGACTGAATGAGTGATACTTACCCAAGGTCAGCCAGTAGGTTTACATGGCAGAATGATGCTTTGGACCTTGGTCTTCAAAGTTGTAATAGCCCCATGTTTAAAACAATATGCCTAAAATTAAAAACTGCAATAGGAAAACCAAAGTTTGACAAACTTTTTATTTTTGGTATCCATTTATTTTTTGTTGACTAGAAAAGTAGGAAAAGCTATGTCCGTCTACTCTGCAAGTCATCTGCAGCTGTGCCAGTGATGTGTCTTTTGGGACATGTTTTGGGAATAGTCTTTTCATCCCATTTGATTTTCCATTGTACACTTGGTTGACAGTACACTTCCAGTGGCAGTCAAAGAAAGACACTGAGTAAAGCCATCAATGTTTTCAATTTTCCCATTCTTGTTTCCTTTTATACATATATATCCATTATGTATCAAATCCTCATTGAGCCTTCAAAAGCTATGGGTTGCCTATTTAAAAGGTGTTTCCTATGGTGCGTGTGATAAAACCCTAAATGCTAATGTAATCCTATAGCTTATGGGATGGATAAGATATAGGACCCCGTGTTATTACCCAAAGCTGTTCTTGAAACCTGCTTGGTGTCCCACAGCTCCCATCAAATGCACCTCCTTGAATTTCTGGTCTTCAGGTTTTTCCCCCTGTTCCTGGAGACTTCCACAAATTTTTGTGTATTAGTAGTTGTAAGTCTCACCCTGAAAAAAATCAATCCATATGTAGAAATGGTCATCCTAAGTAGACATTTCCTTATTTTTTTATGTTGTGAAATCTTCTTCATAAATAGAATCATGGAATCATAGAGTTGGAAGAGACCTCATGGGCCATCCAGTCCAACCCCATTCTGCCAAGATGCAGCAAAATTGCATTCAAAGCACCCCCGACAGATGGCCATCCAGCCTCTGTTTAAAGGCTTCCAAAGAAGGAGCCTCCACCACACTTCGGGGCAGAGAGTTCCACTGCTGAACAGCTCTTACAGTCAGGAAGTTCTTCCTAATGTTCAGATGGAATCTCCTTTCTTGTAGTTTGAAGGCATTTTTTAAGGATGAAGAATTCTTAATACCTTTCTTCTGAACTTAGGAAGAAAGTAGATTTTGTTAAGTTGTCATCAGAACAACCAATCACAGTACTCAACTTCTACACTGGCCAGTTTCAGTTAGAACAGGAAAGCTCATGTTGTGTATCTCTTTGTATGTAGCTGTTAAAGATATGAAACCCTGATTCAGCCCATAGTCATATTGCCATTGTTCTCCACTGTTGTTGTCCATTGTTGTCCACAAGTTGTTTTCAAATTACTGCAGCCCTAAGGTGAACCTATTGAGTTTGTTCAGAGAGGGCTTGTCTTTGCTTTCCCCTGATGCTGTGAGAACATCAGTTGCTGTAGTTTACCCAGTGGGTTTTTATGCCCAAATAGGCATTTGAACCATGAACATCCTTTGAACAAAGTGCTCAGATTCCTAGGTCTCAAGGGAGGAATGGGTTTTTTACATCCCTCATTCAAATCACTCTAAGGGCCCTTCCACACAGCCCTATATCCCAGAATATCAAGGCAGAAAATCCCACATTATCTGAGTGTGGACCCAAAGCAGATATTGTGGGACTTTCTGCCTTTATATTCCAGGATATAGGGCTGTGTGGAAGGGCCCTAAAAGTAGTCCTTTCCACCAGGTATATCAAGAAATGTGTGAGATTTAAGGAAACAGGTTTAAAAAAGGAAGAGTGTACCAGTTTTTAACGGTATTATCCAGCATCTTGCCCCAGAGGCAAAATTGCAAAGATACCAGAAAACAGCATTTTGTACCTAATGGTGCCATAGGAAACATCATTGTGACATGTTCTCCCTGGGTCTGCCTTTGAAAAGTATTCAAACACTTTGTGTAAAATTTAAGGAAACAGGTTTAAAACAGGAAGTGTACCAGTTTTTAACAGAATTCCCCAGCATCTTGCCCCAAAGGCAAAATTGCAAAGATACCAGAAAACGGCATTTTGTACCTAATGGTGCCATAGGAAATGTCATTGTGACATGTTCTTCCTGGGTCTGCATTTGAAAAGTATTCAAAAACTTTATTTGCCATGTTGATCATAAGTGTGACATTCACACATATTTACATACTGTCTTTCTAGGTCAGACCTGAAATGATCCGTCTGATTTTTCTTGAACATCCATGAGCATGTAGTCCCCAGCATCTAGCATATCATACATGTGAAAAAAGAAATTCCATTTGGAAAGAAAATCAATATAAATCCAGTCAATGCTTGAGGTTGCTCTGGAATATAGATATATCAAAGTAAACAGAGTTGTGAATTTAACCAAGTCAGGTGAAGCTCTGCTCTCTAGTGGTGCTTTGGTTTTATTGCATGCAAAAAGGAGGCTACATCAACACGTTGGTTCAGTCATTCAAAAGTCACTTTTGTAGAAATAAAAGTTTTAATGTGAAATCAAATCATATAATTTGAAAACAAAACAGTTTTGCTAGTGCTGATTTCTAAATTATTCAGGAAAGTAGGCAAAAAAATCATGGAGAAGAAATGATAAAGTCCCAAACATTCAAAGAAAAATCCATAGCAAAACAATTACATTTTCTTTTCTTTTTTATCACTGTAACTATTCTTTTAAAAAGAAAGATTATGGAAAACTTATTATAGTCATTTTTGCTAATAAAACATGTTGATTTTTAATATTTAAAAATAATACATTTTTTCCTTTTCTAAATGTATTCAAACTGAGTTAATAACACTTACGACCTCATCATACAACAATTTTTTAGAGTCCTAGGATGCTGCCACCCCAGATGAATGACTGTGCCCTCTGCAGCCCATAACACAACGTAGCCTCGCTTCGGCTAGGGTTTGAT